TGTTATGCAAAAGTTGTTCTAGACTTTCTTGGAGAGGCGTTAAAGTTGTATTTTTGTCTAGAATTTCGTTTTATTTAGACTTGGCATTTAAAAGTTATTTGCAAAAATCTGCCTTCAAATTAGTAAAATTTATAATACGGCCCAGAGAAAGCTACAATTAAAATACCAGCAAAAGTGTGATTTTGTCGTTGTCAAATTTACATATTGTTTTAAGCACATACAAGTGTGAAGACAAAAATAATAAACAGGAAGAAATACAACAAAGACTTGAATATTCTTCTTCGTGTTGAAGAGAAGAAAAATATTGACTCCCGTCTTTTGGAGATACAGTAGGAAAAGACAAGAGGATCTTTCGCCGAATGACTTCTTCCTGTAGAGCACACTCAAAACCCGTCTTGACGGGCATATTAGATACAGAAATTTAGATGAACTGAAAACGATATATCGGTGGAATGCTAAAGATTCTCCCCTTAACAGCTTTTTATTGCGAGGCGTGAATTTTACAATCATTTCGGGTATTGTTTGACTGTGAATGAGGGATTGTGAACATTTTATTAAATAGTTTAGTTGTTTAATAAAGTTGCTTTGTTACAAATACTTCGATTATTTCTTATGTTATTGTGGATGTATGTGGTATGAGCAAGGCCCGAGAGTAATCTAGTATTGAACAGCAAACAAGTGATAGACCGCGAATACTATTCTCAGTTCAACTAATTCTTTTGTAAATGATCATTCCAATTCAGAAAAATATTAACCACTCTTTCAGAACCACACAAATTTTTGTAAACAAAATGTGACATCGAATTTGACACCGACAAAATCATATTTTTGCTAGTATTTTAATTGTAGACTTCTCTGGGCCGTATTATAATTTTATATAATTTGAAGGTTGGACGAATTTTAGACGCCTATTCCAAATAAAACGAAATTCTAGACAACACTACAATTTTAACGCCTCTTCAAAAAAGTCTAATAGAATTTTTGCATAAAACTATCTAGGGAGATAATATTTGACCTTTCCAAAATTAACATGGGATTTCCTATGTCCCGCGTTCTGATAACGCCTAGCTGATAACGCTTCAAGAAATTTGGGCTACTACTATTTAATAAATATATTTTAGCAGCTTTTAAAGAATTATTTAATAGAGTAATAATTACCTTTTAATTAATTTTAATCAAACCCGACTTTGTTGTTTTGTTGATACTCGTATCACCTTATTTATAACAAAAGAAGACAATTTTGACTGCTTGAGATAGAATTTTGCAAAGATGAAGAAAATTTTGTAAGCAGAACTAGAAATACAGGGTGAGTCTTAAATAATAATAATAATAATAATAATAAAGGACTTTATTTAGTAGAAAAGAAGAAATACATAAGTAATAAAAAAATTGCAAAATATTTTCAGGGGTAGTATATTTCGATCCCAGGAACACGCCTATGGTTTTTTTGCAAAAAAAATACTGAAAATCGTGAATTTTCTTTTAAATAACCCTGTACATTTTTCGAAAACTTTTTAGGACTGCCCGTTCACCAATTTTCCCACGGTATAATTTCTTAATCTCTGATATTATCATAGTTACAGCTTTACTCTATGGTTACGGCCAAAGACATCTTGGTTACGGCACTAAAAAGGATACAAATACAGAAAAAATCCGGTGGCTCTCAAAATTTTTCCAAAAAAAGTCATTTTTTAATTTTCAAACTTAAATAACTCGGTTATTTTGGACCTATTTGAAAAATGGTAAAGAGAAAACATGTTTCTTTTATCGAGATCTACCAGCCCTGAAAATATTTGCACTTATTTAAGACTCACCCTGTATATCAAATTTTATTGATTTAAAAACAAACAAATCGATTCTTTTACAACTTAAAACGACTTAACAAGACAAAGAAGAAATTATAGTCATTCGCCAATATTTAGGCAGAATAATTCTAACAATCAACCTCATATTTCTAAAGCAAATAACTCCAAAATAGACCTTTTAACTTTCGATTTATTACATCCTTGTTAATTGGTGCTAACAGTTTAAGGGAAATCCACAAGTGGCATCAGACCAAATTAAATAGAAGATTATGTAACGCCGATGTGGTGATGCTTCAAGCAAACACGCTAATGTGGGTTTGTTTTCTTTTATCGTTAAATCGGTGCCATAAACGGCGTGCTCAGGGAAATGTGCTTTATGTGAAAATCACTTTTACTTTACTTTATGTCGGTACTTGCCATCGTTTATTGCTAATAGTCCAAGAGCTGGGTGCAAAAACATGCAAGAGTTTTCTGAAGGCTCAGATTTTCAACATCGAATGCATTTTAGTGTTAAAATGCAAAGGTACAGTCAGCAGTTCCAGTTCCGGAACACCTGGCGCCTGAGAAGCGCGGAAAGGTGTAATTCTAATTAACAACTTCAGACTGTTTTCTGAAGGCTGAAAATTTGTAGATAACATTTGAATGCAATGAAAAACAAAAAAATAACAGTCAGACAGAGCAGCATGGGGACACAAAGCGTCAGCCCGACCTTAAACGGGTTGTCAAAAAAAAATTGTCACTCAGAGTGATTTCTGAAGACTGAAACTTTGCGAGGTAATAGTGAATTCATCGAATTCGTCGATAATGGAACCCCGTCAGCAGCTGATGGAAGTGAGAATAGTGACAGCACAGGTAACAGCGCGCGTATAGACAGGTCTTTAACTCAATATATATCGATATTTTCACACAAAACAAAATAATTAATGTAAAAACTGCTTTATGCATGTAACTACATGTTTTAAAATATATCTTTCTCATAATATTTATATTTAAATATCAATAATAGATAGTCACAAATCCAAAAAAAAAATAAAATATTTTGAGACACTAAAATGCAATTGATTTTGAAAATATGAGCCTTCCAAAGATATTTAAACTCAACCTAACAGAGTTTAAATATCTTTGGAGCCTTCAGAAAACTCTCGCATGTTTTTGCACCCGGCTCTCCAACTATAATCTCTCTATTACGATACGTACACAAATTGTATGCTATGGTATATTGTGACGTCATGTTGTTTAATACCGTATGATCGAAAAAAAAACAGCGTCCAGTTGGCTTCGAAATTCGAAATGACGATCGATGACATTTCCCATATAATTTTACATCGATCTTCATTTTTTGATGCATTAGAAATACCCAGTTAAAAAAATCCTTGATATTACAATATTTACACTTAAATTGAAAACATAACTAAAACAGATTATTAATATAGAGAATAATAAAATTCTTATGGCGTTAAATAAAAATTTATGGAAGTACTGTCCATTATTTTGCTCCGAGATTTTTATTTATATCTTGAACAGAAGTAAAATACCTGCTCAGATCAAATAAATTGTCTGTTCTGGCATTCTGACAATATTATCTGTTCCTATACAGGGCGAGTCTTAAATAAGTGCAAATATTTTTAGGGCTGGTAGATCTCGATAAAAGTAGTAATATTTTCTCTTTACCGTTTTTAAAATAAGTCCAAAATAACCGAATTATGTTACTTTCAAAATTTAAAAAAAAATATTGTTTGCTTAAATTTTGAGAACCGCTGGATCTTTTCTGCTTTTTTTTCTCGTAAATTTAATCTACTCTCTATGTTGCCATATTATCAAGAAATTATGTTTTTTAACTACAAATATTTCCAAAATTTTTTTCAAAAAGTTCCAAATTTTCAACGCGACAAAAACCTCTTAATCGTGTTTCTGGGGTCGAATTATACTACCCCTAAAAATATTTGCACTTATTCAACTCACCCTGTATGTTTTTATAAAAATTTGAAGAAATAACAATAAGTAATAAATGATAATTGAATTGAATAAATTAATTATCCACAACAACAACCTGCAGTCTTATTTTGACCATTTTATTATTTTTCGACCTATATTTCCTTAATAAAAATATTAATAGAAATTTTGTATCCAACGTATTTGTTATTTGTTTACTGCAGTGTAACTATTTTCAATAAAACACTTTAGCCTTACACATTGTACTCAAAAAGCTACTCTTGTACAAAAAATTATCATAAAAAAATATTATAGGAAAGATATATGAGAGAACCGAAAAATACGAAAGAATGATATGAAAGATCTCAGTTCTTTTTATAAAAAATTTTGCTTGTTCTAAAATGGTTTTAATCCCGTTATTTTACTTTTCCAAATTTCCGTACCATTTTAAAGAAAATAAAACGTCCTAAATAAATAAAAATATCCGAGAAATCAAAAGGCGTTTCTATGGTAATATAATTTTGATTTCATTGTTTGATAGATTGTTATATTGTTATTGATAACAAATTCTAGTATATTTTTATGTTTTTAATATTTTCTCAAAAACGATATATAATTTTAGAAAAGTATAAGCGGGATTAACCATTTTAGAACAAGCAATTTTTTTATGAAAAATGCAGTTTGCTCAAAATGTCAAGAATAATATTTTTTAAACATAAACCGGGGACACACTGTATATAACAACTATAAATTTAAGAATATAGTAAAATTTTACACTATTACAGAACAGATTTTAATTCTTTAGTATAGAGAGATAACTATTTTTTAAATCAGAATTTAGAATTGTCACTAGAACAATGATAAATTTCCATCATTTCTGGTATTGAACAGATAATTTTATCTGTTCTATAAATAATTTTCCAAATAAAATAAATGATGTCTCCAAAACTATTGAGATTGAAATAGAATATTTGATATTTAGAACAGATAATATTTTTCAGAACAGATAATTTATCTGTTCTGGGTATACAAATTGATTCTATGAATGATTAATACCATTTTTCGTAAGGATAATAGTAACGATACTTTTTAAAACTACTTTATAGTAATATTATATATATTATTTAGAGCGTATCATATAATACATCAACAGTTTATTTATCTGTTCTACGTGGAGTAAATAATTATAAATTTTAGTAGAATTTCTAATAAGTAAATTTAGGTAATTAGAAACTTGGCCACAAAACTATAGACAGTACTTACAAGTTTTTTTCTAATACACTGTAGGTTTAACATATTACTATAATATGCAAATTATCTTTTTTTATTTTTGTTTGTTATCCGTCTAACACGAGCTTTGTTCTGTCAGAAATCAAGCACCAAACCACGAGCATTCACTTAAATTCAGTTTCGGTGACGATAAGGGTTGTTACGTACCAGAAAAGGTTTCATGGCGACGATGACACCAACAACGGTCAAACGATGAGAAGAAGATGCGCCCGTGTTCTTAAATAGTAGCGAATCCCCGCCGATAGACGCTGTCTGTACCCGGCGTGCGGTACCAGAAACCACGCATCTCGGTACCTTCACTCGAAAATCCTTACTTTTACTATTATCTGATCTATCGGTCTAAAGGTATTTTTTTCGTATGTGTTTGTCGATGGCTAATAATGGGAATTTGTTATGGGTAATTTATGTGTGAGGTTCTGTTTTAGGCTTAGATAACACGGTACCCATCGTGTATGTACAGGAGAAGTCTATAACCAAGTAGTGTCTAACGAAAAATGTTGAGCTTGGAAAAGACGGTACCTTATTATGTACACTCAGATATGGACCTGAATTTTTTATATCAGATTTTGAAAGAATTCGGTCTCCTGAGTACAATGATATGCCACACTTAATATTTTTTTGTTTCGGTCATTTAAACACAATTTATTTAAACTAACTTCAAGTCCGGCTCTGTTTTTTTTAATATTTAATCTATTCATTGTTACAATATTGATGAGTTTTAAAACTTAACAATGACACAAACAATCACGAGATAAAACATTCAATACGGAAAATCAAATAGAATAAAATAAAAAATAATATAAAATAAATAATATAAAGATAATCTATACTAATATATAAAATCCTTAAGTGACTGACATACTGATTAATCACGATCCTGCTCAAACCACTAAGAAGCTCAATTTTGGCATACAGGTTGATTCTAGGGTGTAGAGGTTCGATAAGAAGGGATTTTTCGAAATTTCAGTTCCAAGAGGGTGAAACCACCCCTCAAATATTACAGTATTTTTTATTTAAAAAACGGTCTAGTTTCCGAAAAAACGCTTAAACACGTATATTTTATTTTGTTTTTTTACATATTTTAAGATTTTTTAAAAATGCATACAGGGTGTTTCGAAAAATCTGGTCATTGATTAATCACAATCCCGTTTAAAGCGCTTGACGTAAAAAGCTGATTTTTGGAAAACAGATTGACTTTAGGGTGTAGAGGTTCGATAAGAAGGGATTTTTTGAAACTCGAATTCTAAGGGGGTGAAACTATCCCTCATATATTAAAATATTTTTTATTTAAAAACCGGTGAGTTTTTCGAAAAAACTCTTAAACACGTATATTTTATTTTGTTATTTTACATATTTTAAGATTTTTTATTAATTTATACAGAGTGTTTCATAAAATATAACCATTGAGTAATCACGATTCTGCTTAAACTGCTTGACGTCTAAAACTGATTTTTGGCAAACTGATTGACTGTGGGGTGTAGAGGTTCTATAAGGAGGGGTTTCTCGAATCGCAAATTCCAAGTGGGAGAAAACGCCCCTCAAATATTACAATATTTGTTATTTAAAAAACTGTTAGTCTTTCGGGAAAACGCTTGGACAAGCATAATTTATTTGGTTTTTTTACATATTTTGAAATTTTTCAAAAAATCATACAGGGTGTTCCAAAAAGTTGGGTAATTTCTTAACCACGATTCTGCTTAAAGCGCTTGACGTAAAAAGCTGATTTTTGGAAAACAGATTGACTTTAGGGTGTAGAGGTTCGATATGAAGGTATTTTTCGAAACTCGAATTCTAAAGGGGTCAAACTATCCCTTAAATATTAAAATATATTTTATTTAAAAACCGGTGAGTTTTTCGGAAAAACTCTTAAACACGTATATTTCATTTTGTTGTTTTACATATTTTAAGATTTTTTATTAATTTATACAGGGTGTTTCATAAAATATGACCATTGAGTAATCACGATTCTGCTTAAACTGCTTGACGTTTAAAACTGATTTTTGGCAAACGGATTGACTGTGGGGTGTAGAGGTTTGATAAGGAGGGGTTTCTCGAATCTCAAATTCCAAGAGGGTAAAAACGCCCCTCAAATATTACAATATTTGTTGTTTAAAAAACGGTTAATCTTTCGGAAAAACGCTTGGACAAGCATAATTTATTTGTTTTTTTTTACATATTTGAAATTTTTTAAAAAATCATACAGGGTGTTCCAAAAAGTTGGGTAATTTCTTAACCACGATTCTGCTTAAACTGCTTGACGTAAAAAGCTTATTTTTTGCAAACGGATTTTTCGAAAGTCAAATTCCAACGAGATGAAACTACCCCTCAAATATTACCAAGTTATATAATACTATCGCCATATTGTTTTTTCTCATGCTGACATAAATGTGAGAAAATGTTATCCAGTTTGTATGTTAATGGAAATTCTTGCTTTGCTTTATCATCACCATTACAAATGATTAATTCGACGCGAACGAAGTCGCTGGTACACGCTAGTATAATATAAACAATCAAATTATTTCCCCAGAAGATGGATTGAAAATGGTAGAGCAGTATAATGGCCAGCGAGGTAAATAAAGAAATAAATAAATACGGAGGGTGGTAATTAAATAAACCCTTTCAAACATGTAGAGCATTAGAAACTTGTTTGTAGAAGTTGATATATTTATAAGAACTACGATTAATATTATTAGACAATATTATTAGATCTTACATTGAGATTCCAAATTCACAAAAAAAGTTAAAAATAATATATTTTAAATTGCTGACCTGGATATTATTTATTTGAATCTTTCAATTGGCTCGATTTTCCTTATACAATGTTAATTAACGCCCGCCATTATTGTTGCGATGAATATAATCAGGTTAAATAATTTAAAAATCCAGAGTTGGAAATTATTTTAAATAATAATTACAGTTTTGTTGTTGTTGAAGTATCCAAAAAAATATAAAGTGTGGCATATCGTTGTACTCAGGAGACTGAATTCTTTTAATACATCAAATAAAAAATGCAGGTCCGTATTTAAAAAAAATAACTTGGTCTATGTATCTCACAAATTATCAGCTAATTTGAAAATCTAAAAATATTAACATATAGCCCTGATAAACTGGCTATGAGAATGTGGAATTAGTTTTTTGATTCTCTAAAAAGTAACGGGACAGGAAAAAGTGAAATTGATTTTCAAAAAATCCGTTTTTCTCAAAAAATTCAGCAATCCTTGAAATTTTTGAAACTTTTTTGATAGCATGTTGGCGAACATCCCAAGGCGCAACTTTGTCCCAATTTAACCATCTTCGTATCTATTAGAGTTTCCAAGATACCAATGCTCGTACCTCGAATTTGTAGCACCCTGTATACAGGGTGGTCCGAATTGTATTCCGGAAACTTCGGCAGCATATTCTGCAGATAAAAATAGGTAAAAAAGTTCGTATAAATGTATGTCCTAAAATGCTTAGTTTCGGGGATACAGGGTGTAGAAATTTCATTTTTATTTCGATTTTTTCCAAATAATTTCTGAAGTAACGTCAATATTTAGATGAAAATTGGTATATAAGAGTTTTTTAACATGAGGAATTTGATTTTTTTTTCAATATCACTCCTACTTGTAGAGGGCGCCACCTACATGTGTTTTAACTGTTTTGAAGCGTAATAACTTTTTATCCGTAGCTGTATAAAACTACCGAAAAAATATACATATCTGTGCTTTTTTACGTAAAAAATATCTCTTTGTAAAAATCGCTACGAGCAACCGTTCTCAAGATATTTGGAATGGAAATAGTCAATACATGCTATTATTGACGAAAAATAAACACGTTGAGTATAAGTAGTTATTTCACTGAAATAATAAAATTTGGGAAATTTATTTTTTTAATTAATCCTATTTTTTCTGCAAAAAAATGATGATAAAACACTTTTTGTTGAACTTTTGGTACAAAAACATTTCAAATTTATGATCTCAGTCTAATAACTATTTAGTTAACATGTTTAATTTATGTCAGTGGTAACAGGTATTCATAATTTCGATTCCAAATATCTCAAAAACCATTACTCGTAGCGATTTTTACCAAGAGACCTTTTTTACGTAAAACGCGTCGTAAATGTATATTTTTTACTCAGTAGTTTTATACAGGTACGGACGAAAAGTTATTACTCTTCAAACTATTTAAAAAATACGTAGGTAGCGCCCTCTACTAGTAATAGTCATATTGACATCAAAATCAAATTTCTCATGTCAAAAAACTCCCAGACACCAATTTTAATCCAAATATTGACGTTGCTGCAGAAATTATTTGGAAAAAATCGAATTAAAAATAAAACTTCAACACCCTGTATCTCCAAAACTAAGCATTTTTGAACATACACCTATACGAACATTTTTACTTATTTTTGTCTGCAGAATATGCTGCCGAAGTTTCCGGAATACAGTTCGGACCACCCTGTATAATGTGTTAAGAATGCACACTAGTATGCGTTATTATACGAGTCATTGTGTGTGGTAATAATAATAATTTATATTAATAAAGAAATAAAAAATATAAATACTCTGAGAAAAACGCAAAAGACATATATTATCTTATGTTTATTTGAAAGATAGTTTAGGAAAGATCAGATATTAGCATTTTGTCAATTTCTTTAACAATTTATTATATGTAAATACAAATTATTATGTCCTGTAATGTTAGGTTAGCTATAATTTATCAATTTAATGTGGGCCTAGACCTTTGTTAGTCAATGTTTTATGCAAAAAGGGAAAATTCAGAGAAATCATCGTGAAGATGCGACCTTGCCTACACTATATTAATTATAAACATTTTTTTTATAGGTTGATTAGCTTTCTTTTATTTTCTCACATCTTCTATATTAACGGTTAAGTTACATCTGACATGTTTCTTTATGAAGTAATAAAGCAATTATAAATTTTTGAAAGCATCAAACACGTCTGTTATGTATAGATCATACCAAATAAACCAGTGACTAAAGAATACAAGGACAAGTAACGTCCATATACGGATTGTAGGAGAATTTGTGATGTTAGACGCCATTTTTTTGGATGTAACGAATGACTCATCGGCTGGTCACCAGCGACAATTTTAGCGATTTTTA